AACTGTGATTTAAGAGCTTGGCATGGTGGCACACACCTGTAGTCCCAGCTATTCAAGAATCAGGAGGATCACTTGACCCAAAGAGTTCAAGGCCAACCTGGTTGCCAGACCTTATTCACACACAAAAAAAATGTGATTTGGTGGGAAGATTATCTTTCCAATCTTGACATCTATTCTGGGAGATCTTTGACTCACATGTATTGATTTAATTGTTCATATTCTTTTTTTTCTCTGGTGAAAGCACAGTGACCTCCTTTCTTTGGAGCCTGCTTATGTAGGCGCTCTGATACATACAAATAAATACATACACACAACCACGTGGGTTCATTTGTGGGTTTTTTCTTACCAGCTTTCTGGAATTTAAAAATGGCAGTCTTTGACCATTCTGACATTCATAAGAATGGAAAAATATTACATACAGAATATATACAGAAATTCTTTTTTTTTTGTTTTTTTTGTTTTTTTTTTTTGGTACCAGGGATTGAACTCGGGTCCTTGGGCTTACAGAGCAGGCAGCGAAACCACTGAGCTAAATCCCCGGCCCCTATACAGAAATTCTTAATATCATGTAAGACATGATGTTGTCTTTGCTGTAGAGAGAACACACAGACATTTTACGCCACCTGAACATGATGCTGATGTTCAGTGAGTGTGTGCTGGACCTGACAGCCATGCAGGGAGGAAATCCTGAGTTGTGCACATCTGCCGTATCCTTGTACCAGATTCAGGAGAGTGTGGTTGTAGACCAGATCAGCCAGCTGAGCAAAGACTGGGGGTATGTGTCCTTTTGTAGTTTATTTCTAGATTCTTCCTGTTTTCTGTAAACTTGCGCCTTAGACATAGGTATTGTTATTTACTAAGGATCACATCTCATCATTAAAAGCTTCAATGGAATCTCTTTAGAAGTTATGTAATTATATAAGATGTCGCTGTATGAGCTCAGAGTTTATTGTGCAACCCTAGCATTGTGTTTTTCCTGTAAATTATACCATTGAAGATACTTGATGAGGAGGAGATGATGTGGATTTTTATCTTAGTGTTTCTGTTGTTTTCAAAGTTTACAGATCTTTCTCCAAGCCATGTGTTCTCCCTTTAGGAGTTATCTGTGCATTTTAAAAAACATAGGAGATTCCCTTAGAAAGGCTATATGAATGGTGGGCTGATCTGTGGTATGCAGAGTCTGGTGAGTTGGTTTAAAAGATAACACTGTGCTCCTGTCTTCCTGGTGCAGGAGGGTGGAGCAGCTGGTGTTATACATGAAAGCAACACAGCTGCTTGCAGCTTCCCTGCATCTTGCCAAAGCCCAGATCAAGTCTGGGAAGCTGAGCCCGTCGACAGCTGTGAAACAAGGTATGGAAACAGATGTCAGCATGAGGCTTCATGGCCCTGGAGTCACCCCTTCTCATCCCAAGAGAGAAAATTTTTGTGGAGGAATAACTGTTGCTCATTATTCTGTACAGGGGAAAACATGGCTATTTGTTGGATTTTCACCATTTATTAGTACAGAAAGAAATCAGAAGGGCTGTCTTTTCATACTGAAAAAGAGATCGTAGAACCTGATTAACAGTACTTTCCTTCAGTGGTCATGTGGTGTCACTTATATCAGCAGGAAGGGTTTGTGTCATTGTGTTGTTATTCTGGGAAAAATCAATTCCCATCTCAACTTTTTCCAGTTGTGAAAAATCTGAATGAGCGATATAAATTCTGCATCACCATGTGCAAGAAACTTACAGAAAAGCTGAATCGCTTCTTCTCTGACAAACAGAGATTTATTGATGAAATCAACAGTGTAACTGCAGAAAAACTCATCTATAATTGTGCAGTGGAAATGGTAACTATTTTATTTTTTCTCCCCCCTGGTACTGGGGATTGAACTCAGGACCTTGCGCTTGCAAGACAGGTGTGGTACCACTGAGCTAAACCCGCGGCCCTGAGATGATAACTATTTTTAAGGTTTAATATCTTGTAGCACTAAAATGCTTATCTCTGAGAGTGTTTTTTGAACACCTGCTTGACGTTATCTGTCCTTTTAAAAGAATGTACAGTATGCCCTAAAACTCCTCTTAATAAAAACATTTTATTATATCCCCTGTTAAACTTTGCTGACATTTGGTGTTAGCTCATCTTTTTATAGTTTGCATCTAAAAGTATTGGCTGGCTCTGCTTATGTGTTTTCTACTGTTTTAAGAAATGTGGGGGACTGGAGGTATAACTCAGTAGTGGAGTACTTGCCTAGCCTGTGTGAGGCCTTGGGTTTGATCCCTAGCATTGCATGTGTACATGAATCAACCAACCAACCAATGAACTAATTTTTGCTTAATAGCTTAATCTTTTTTTTTTTTTTTCTTTTTTGGTACCGGGGATCAAACTCAGGTCCTTGTGGTTTTGAGGCAGGTGGCAGAACCACTAAGCTAAATCCCTGGCAATTTTTGCTTAATAAAAGAAAAAATACTGCTTTGTTACTCAACCTGCAAGTTCTCCAATGTTCCACTTACTATTGAAGTATGGACACCAAGGAGAATCTGCTTTTCTAATTGTCTGGTGGTTGTAACATTGGAAATAATCTATTTTCTGTTTCTACTGGGGGAAAATTGTGCTCTGAATTATAGGTAAAAATAGGAGCTCTGAAGTAAGTAGGGAAAATTTTACTTATTGAGATGTTATTTTTACCACATTAATGTAATACATTTCCATTTATTTACTCTGAGTTATACTGACATTACACTCTTGTCCTTCTTTTGAAAGCCATTAAAACAGTCATATGAAAATAACTTTGCAATATAAACTGACCAGAATAATATACATTACATGATTCTATACCATTGAAAGGAATAATACACATTGTATCATTCTGATTAAAGACTGCCTAAGACTATTGTGCCAGGCCAGGCACAGGGGCAGAAGCCTGTAATCTCAGTACTCTGGAGGCTGAGGCAGGAGGATTGCTGTAGATTCGAGGCTAGCCTGTTCTACATGGTGAATTCAAGACCAGCCTGGACTAATAGCAAGACCTTGTCACAAAACAAAACAAAACAAAATTGTGCCAGGAAAAATGTCTTCTAATCAGAAATTATATTGCTTCTTTCCTTTCTGATAGTAGTAGCCTTGTAATTCCAGTGAGTTCTTTATGCTGTGTCTAGTTAGCAAGCTTAGAGGTATCAGTAGTTACATTTATCGTTTTCTGTTTCATGGCTCCAATTTTCTGTATACATTTTAGTACTTTATCGTAAGTGAATTTATTTTTGTAAAGGAAATAGGACACGTGCTAACAAGTAAATTAAGATGCTGAATTCCTGAGAGAGTTCTGGCATTTAATCATTAATGAGAAAATCAGAATGCTGTTGGGAAAACCTATAAATACTACAACTGTCCTCTCTTTTTGGAAAGCCCCTCTTTACCTTTCCCATCACTTGGCTCTTGCTCCTTTTTTTTTTTTGCTTGTTTGGGGGTTCTTTTTGGGTTTTTTTGTTGTTGTTGTTTTCAGTACTGGTCATCGAACTTGGGACCTTGTGCTTGCAGAGGCAGGCGGCGGATCCACTAAGCTAAGTCTCGACCCTCATGCTCCTTTTTTTATTACTCGGGCTAAACATCAGCTCCTAGAGGCTTTCCTTAATCTCCTTCCATAGTTGGGGTTAGATGCATGGCCTGTGTGATCCATACCATGCAATGCTTCCTCCCATATAACATGTTCCCCTTAGAATTAGAATTGCATGTTCCCTTGAGATTCCCTTTAGATTGTGAGCACTCTTTTGGGGTATGTTCATTGCCTCACATTGGTAGGTACTCAGTATCTCTGAATTCACAAATGAAGACTATACCTGAAAATTCTTTGACTGGAAAAATAAGCTAACAGATGACTCTTAACATAATTTAACCATAATATTGTAACAAAGTGTACTTTAATGAAATGCCACGATACCCTAGTGTGAAAGCATATGTTTAAAATAAACTTTTAATGAAGTCATAGAAGAGTCAGTTTAGAAGGGTTCTGGTGTAAATTTTAAATCATGACCCTGCATACCAGAAGGCTATGTAGATCTTTTGTTAAAAAGCTGGTCCTTGGGCCGGGGATTTAGCTCAGTGGTTCCACTGCCTGCCACGCAAGTGCAAGGTCCCGAGTTCAATCCCCAGTACCAAAAAAAAAGCTGGTCGTTTATTTTGGCTCATCCTGAAGAATCTTTCAAGTTTTATGTAGTTTAGCAAACTATATCATTTCATTAAAATGTATTAATTTTAAAGCTGTTTAAGGCTGTATTGGCTCAATAAACTTCTCTTTTCTTGGAAAAGTTGAGAATCTGCTCGTTCTTATTGACTGTTTCCAGGTTCAGTCTGCTGCCCTGGATGAGATGTTTCAACAGACAGAAGATATTGTTTATCGCTACCATAAGGCAGCCCTTCTTTTGGAAGGCCTTACTAAGATCTTACAGGATCCTGCAGATATTGAAAATGTACATAAATGTAAGCTGACGTATACAGTAATTTCTCCTTATCTGTGTTATTTTCTGGAATTTTCAGTTACCCAACATCAGCCAGTGTCTAAAAATATTAAATGAAAATCTCCAGAAGCAGTCCATAATTTTGAAATTTTGTTCTGCTCTGATCAGTAGCATGATGAAATCTTGAGCTATCCTGCTGTGCCCCATCTTTGTCTCGAGTGTCCATGCTATATATGCCACCTGCCAACTTAGCCATCTCAGTTATCAGATTTACTGTCTTGGTGCTGCAGTACTTATAGATAGAGTTTGTTATAATCCATGGTTTCAGGCATCCACTGGGCATCTTGGCTCATATCCTTTGAGGATAAGTGGTGTTTATTGATTCCAATTTAGTTGTCTCCTACAGGTGTAGTAGAAGAAGTTTAGAGTTTGGAATCATACTGCCTGTGTTGGCTTTCCCAGCTTTAGCAAATTACTTAACCTTTATGTGGTCTTAGTTTCTTCTGTAAGACAGGCGATAATGGTGCCTACTTTGCAGAGTTGTAAGGATTAGAAATGAATATGAAACATGGATAGCTTTTGTCATTAGTCTTCAGATTTCTACACATTATTTTGTTGGCAAATACGTGCTGGTAAATGTAAGAGAACATTGTTTTTATCATTAAAATCTTAGTTCCTAAAAACTCCTATAAAGATCCTATGTACTGCAGATTTGATGTAGATAGCAGGTGGAGACTGATAGCCTACCAGGATGGTATTACTCCTTATCAAATACAAGCCCAGTAATCTTGTTTTTGAGGAGGAACGGGTGGTGGATGTCGTAGGGTGTACCTAGTCATGCCACATTTAGTATAGCCACAGGAGGATGACTATTGTAAAATTATTTACACTT